ATTATTTTAAGATCAGAAAACACCGTGCATGATCTTGTGAACACATACGGTGCTTCAGATTTTCTGGACATATAAGATTGAAACTTAATTTCGAGGATCACCATAATTTGAAGTATACCCAAATCCTGGAGATCCGTTTCTGACTGACTCCGCATTTATGCGCTTCATAAGGTTGACTTGGATCCTAGTAATCGGCGAACGTTGCATGAAAATTATTCAAAATAACACAGAGTGATGAGGTTTTATTTGATAAAAATTTACCCCGGAGAAATACGTTAAAGAAAGGGAGCGAGAACTTGAAGACTCTTGTTTTAACAACGAAAGTCAACGCAGCGATGGTCCGAGACAATATCTCTTCGCTCGCGGCATGAGTGGATTAACGTCCTTAAAAATAAGATGTAATCGATAGTTCTATAGCCATTGTTAGCGGTCAAAAAATGATGCTAGCTCGAAGAATGTGAGGAAAGTGAACATTGATTGGGAAGAAAGTAGAACTGACTTCGGTTCTGACGCTCTTTTTAACGATTTATTCCTCATTAAGGCGTAATTAAACTAGATACTTAAAACACGAAATAAGATATCACGTCACAATAATGCAGCTCTTGGAGATAAGTCCAATTAATGATAAAAAAAATAAAATTAAACAGTTGCAATTTCGGGGGATGGTTTGTGTCGTAACTTGTCCAACAGGACTTTACTACAGTTATGGCATTGATTTATCTATCAAAAGTTTAGAATATTTTTTATGACGGGGTAATTTTTTTATCCAATTTTTATTTTCGAAGGAGCATTGCGGAAGTCCCTCTATCGCAGAGGCTCGATTTTGAAATTTCAATGCAGTTTTTTCAACACCATGCAGAAAGAGAATACAATGTTGATACAATGTCATCTTCTTCGCACGATTCCGTTCGTCAAGCCAGTTTATAAATTCTTGGCAGACCTAACCTGGGCGTGAAGGTTTCGTAGGAATTTTTCCGCGAACGCAAACACAAGACGGGAAGTGACATCAGTGACATGCCAGCTATTTAGGGAGAATATCTGCCTCCTTTCATCCCCGTCAAAACATGGGGGTTGCTCGGCGGGGCTGAAACAAAACTCGCGTCAAACGCAGACAAAGGCGCGTTAAGGAGTCATTTAACCGAGCTTTTGTTCCGGGCACCGCAAGAAAAAGCTCGGATCTGGTTCGGGGAAAGAACGAGTTAAGCGCTAAGACGATTTCAGACCGCACAGCGCAGTTGGGGGATGCGACTCTGTTGCAACATGGTAATATTCAACCTTTACTTCTCAACGTTCCAGGTGCACGAAAAATCAAATTTCAAGGGATGATATTGCAACCGGGCATGCGTATGAAATTTGAAAAGTGGAAGCCTATTAGGAAAACACGCTTGTGGCGGATTATAGAATGCTTTTGATCCGGATTAGAACAGGGGTGCCGAATGTTCTTGAACCGCACCGCAGCTTTAAAGTTCGATGCAGGGAAGAAATAAGCGTTAGTGGAGCCGTAAGACTCGTATACGGGTAGGAAAGTTACGAGCTGTGGGTTTCTACTTCTACGAACTTTCAGCGCGAATTTTCATCGTAGATCCTGTTGCGCTCTACATCCGCTTTCACGATAATCGATAGTTTGATGCTGAAGACATATCACAGGTATAGGTTTTGTGACGATTTCCGGCGTTTTTGTTCATGGAATTCGCTATTGATATATTAATCAATGCAAGAAAGAAAAAAAAAAGAAAAATGTGGCCCAAACTGCAGTAGGTAACAAGGTGCTAGATTCGGCGGGAAAATCAATTAAGGTTAAAAAGCTCCACAAATGCTTATAAGTATCAAACATTTTGAACTCTGATGAGCAGTCTTGTACTGATACTCAAAGTTCTAACTTTCCGAATGTAATGAAAATGTTTGATATTTTTTGGCCTTGATTTCCCCCGCAGGCATAGTAAGTGTGGGCCAGCACAATTCTACCACCTTGGTAAATTAATCAATACATGACCCTTTAAACACGGGAGGGGGGAAGGGAGCAACTTTGCAAATTACGATGGCAAATTAACGCAGCTCTTGACATTTTATATACCTGGAAGATAATTATTTCTAAATAACAGCTTTCTTCCATACACCGAAAAAGTTTTGTTTCGATTAAACACGTGATGGAAGGTTAGAGTGGTTGGTTCGTGAAAAACGAACCTCACGCACACACCCTTTTCACAAAAATGAAATTTGGCAATGCTGTCACACTTCGTCTAAAATGAAAACAAAAGATACTCTCTTCTTCAATTTAAATAACCGAATTAAATCCTTCGTGCGCACTTTACATCTACATTTTTAAGCTCTATAAGCAAGCGCATGTTCATCTTCATGTGCTGATGTTTCCTAGCGAGTTGAGCGCACGAATTATGACCTGTCACCAGTCACCGTGCACCGTGCGGTTTATTTTATTTATTTTTTTTTTTTTTTACGTGCCTATATTTATGATTCCCTTTCAGAGCACGTGGGTCGTGTCACGCTCGTTTGCAATTTCGAACTGACGAATTTATTTAGGATGGGGGAGAAGAAACGGGTCGCATAGGGATGAGGGATGGACCGTGAGGTGAGGTTCTCTGCATAAAAATAAATAAAAATATTAATGATAAATAAAAAAAAATTAAAATAAATTACCTACGGGCGTAAAATTTGTTCTATTATTGAGCAAGCCATTGTCCGATGGATCGTATTCGATACATCAAACAGATGAGATTGTATTGACATCGATTGGTTTAGCATGTAAACATGGCCTCAAAAATCCATTGTCATCTGAGGGAACGGGATTTTTGTGATGAATTTTTGATACTTAAGAGTAAAAAATGGCAATGAAGAGGGAAATTGTTACGGATTTTCTCATTTTCAGCTTTTCCAACTTGAATCCTAAAACTCTTGTTTTAGATTACGTTCAATGATTGTTTTGAACCAAACGAACCCCTATTGAATACGATCTATAAACTTGATGGGCGCACTGCTTTACGCAAAAATTAACAGCCAACGAAAAGGTAAAACTGTTGTAACTATCCGAGAGGAGATGTTGGATCCCTGAGAATAAGTTCGATTATTGCCGGGATAGCAGCAGTTAAAGGTCTCAGTTCTGAACATCTCCTGTTCAAGACCCTAAAAATCTTGCAATACGGCTAAGATTGTACTGTTTTATACACCATTTGCGGAAAAATGAATAAGTTAAAACCAAATAATTTTCAACAGAGAACTGAGGACAATCTCACAGCTTGCTCTGGGATAAATGCATGACAGAGCTTTTGGGGTTGTAACGTACTCTAACGTGCTTGAAAGAAAGGTGAAGAGCAAGTCTTGAGGGTTGAGGGTGATTATGCCGGACTCCGCGCATGCAGGGTGATAAGATAGAAAGTGCAATGTACGGAATCCGGTGATGTGACGTATGAAGAGAAAGAATGCGGATAGGTATATCGATACATAAAGAAAGAATGCATAGGTATATGACATAGGGCAGGAACACAAAAAGGTGTATGTAGATCAACAGCCAACGAAAAGGTAAGACTGTTCTTGCGGAAAAATTAATCAGTTTACAACCAAATAATTTTCAACAGAAAAATAAGGAAAAGCTCACAAACTGTAGGGAAAAGTACATGGCTGAGCTTGTGGGTGCACTGGGAAAAAAACGCATTGGATCTAGAGTCCAGACTCTTAAAAACATCGACAAGAAAAAATACTCTTGATTCAATCGGATTCTTGCTTTAATCAAGAACCAAGCCTCTTAATTTGAGCGGATTTCCTTTTGATTTAAGCAAAAATCTGATAGAATCAAGAGTATTTTTTCTTGTCAATGTTTTCAAAAGTCTGGACTCGAGATCCAATGTGTTTTTTTTTTTTTTTTTTTTTTCTTTTCAGTGTGCATGTATAAAAAGCAAGGTTGCACAGTAGCAGCACTTTCGGCTTAAATGAGTCATTTTACCATTCATGTCCTGTCCTTAAATTCGTCACTGAAATGTCTCCTGACTACGCGTGGACACACCCTATCAGTGGCATGGCTGCTTTGTGATTTATCGATTGATCAGTCATTTAAACCTGTGGAAAAGAATCGATATACAGGGTGTTTGCAATCGATTCTTTATCACAGCTTCAAACGGGGAAATATCGATAATCGATCGATCGCGCCTCGCCACTGCCAAAGGCGGATCCAGCAATTTGGCAGCAACGGATTCCCTCCATTTTAACCTATGTTAAATAATCGATTCTGGTCGGAGCGCTTGGCCCCACCATCCCTCCAAGAATCGATACACTTCCATAGGTTTAAGTTGAGAAAAACAGTGTTGCCAATTTGCTGGATCCGCCAATATGGCCACTGCAACACTGCATCCTAGAGTACCTGTATAGGGAGAGTAGCGACAGATCTGAAACTCCGAAAGTCCATCAGGCCTTCACCGATGCCTCCGCGAATAAAGTTAGGGCCCAAAAGGGCAGCCAACCTATGAATTTCGAATGTCCAGAGCGATTTACAAATACAATTGTTACGAACCGTCGTTTAGAAAGCATGTATTTGGTTTACTTTTTGCATAAATTTACTTATTTTTGCGAAAGAACGCTCATTTATATACATTCTTAGCCATCTTGGTTAGAATTGAAATCTGTAGGCTGGCAGTGAAATTTTGTGTGTTAGAAGTTGCTCAGAAGGGTGGCTGCACTTTTGGGCCCTAAGCCCTCCATGAACCGATCTGTCGCTACTCTCCCTATACAGGTACTCTACTGCATCCTATGCGATCCTGCAATAAAATCGGGCTCGAGCCTGGAACATGGCCTGCGGCCTGCGAAGCCTTTTGACATTCCTCTTCCCCGCCCCCGCCCCTCTTCCATGGGTTTCGGCTGCTCGTCCGTCGCTCCTTCCCCCCACTCCAAAATATTTATTGTTTTGAAAAGTGACACCGCGCTGGCGGCGGCGCTGCGACCGCGTGCCGCGTCCGTCTCAACGCGACGCAGCGTAATTAGTCCCGCTCAGCTGATCGAGAAGCCTTTCTTTCCTTGAGTTTTTCAACCTTTTTGGCAATCTTCAACCTACTGTGCCATATTTTTGAACTTTCGTGACTTTCAGCGTGTTGTCGTATCCACTAGTTGATATAATTTCAAAATTATTTAGTTAATCTCTCGGTGTAGCTCGTTAAAAAGTGCGTAAAGATTATCCGGAGTGCGTTACGTTGGGAGATTTGATGTGCGGCTGAACTTGTGCTAAACACGAAATTGACAGTATCCTACATTTGCCCCTCCAGATATTAAGATTTTTTCATACTCTACTTGAACTTCAATTTGTGCTGAGGTACGTTGGAGCCTTCAATACAGTGACTCTTTTTAGCATTGGAAGTTGGTGCTCTTAACAGCTTCTTGCAAGTTTGGCAACAATGTGTTTTCTCTATTTAAGTGCATGTTGAACAGTCGATTCTATGCGAGACAGTTTGCCTCGCCTAGAATTGATGTTTTCAATGGATTAATTAGATCGTATTCAATGGTGATTCGATATATCGTTTGTCTCAAATTAATAGAACGTAAGGAACGTTTAGGATTTCAGTTGGAAAAGATGAAAATTCCTGACGATTTCACTTTTCATTACCTTTTAGTACTAATGAAAATCAAAATCTTCCACAAATAACCTGTTCCCTCAGATAACTTAATTGACTTTTGAAGGTATGTTTACACGTGAATTAATCGATATCGATACAATCTCACCTGACTGATGTATCGAATACGATAAATTGAGGGAGAACATTGTTGCCGACTTGCGAAATCACCGCTCTTTCGAAGGACCTCTTTAGAACAAGAGAAACAGTTTTCAAAGTGTCCTGCAATGCACAGTACATTGCAGGACTTCATCTGTCGAGCTCAGTTCGATTGAAGCTATTGGAGATAAAATTCTGTTTGATGGATTATAAAATTTACGACCAAAATAATGTATGCCAATCAGTTACCTATATAAATGTTCCATAAATGAAATTAAAAATTATTACTATTACATTGCGTAATTACATGTATTTTGACAGCACTTCCCGAAAAAACTAACTTCCCTAGCACAGATGTAAAGGCACATATATATTTTGTCGGAGGCATTTAGCGATTGCCGGCAATTTGCAAGCCACCAGTGTAAAAGTAAAAAAAAAACATAAAATTGTGATACAAAGAAATGCAATCAGAGAACTAATTACCTTTTCTTTAATTTGAAAATATACTTTTTCCTCTTTAGAATATGTTAGTATCAGGTACATTTGGGAGAAAGTGTAGTGGAAACCATGCCCTACTTGAGCTTTGATCGAACAGGGGTCATTCCATGCCAGCTAGTGCCAGGGTCGGATTGGCTTGCATCTAGGGGCGTAGACCCTTGGCTGGTTAAAGGGGCGTAATGTGATATTTCCTGGTGAGGGGGGCTCAGAAAATCTTGGCAAAGCAGCACAAGTTCATACAGAGTAAAAATTGCAAAATTGAACGTATTGAAGTAGCCGACAGACTTCTGAAATTAAAGAAAACAAAAAATTAAAGCCACTAGACGCATCCAAGCACCATTATTTCCAAAAGAACCGGGCCAGTGCTGCGGCTTACACGAGCTTAAGACGTGGGTCTGCAATAAATTAAAGCCTTCCTAAAAAAGAATCAGACAAGAACCTGAAAAAAGAAGAAAGAACGAGTGTCAACACAGCCGAAGACAAGAAAGACGTATTCGGGCCTCTTTTTTAAATTTTTCTCCCAAATCTGAGCGACATCTCATTGACACCATACAGCAGAGCTCCAGGGCATCGAGAGCTCACGCTTCGCGTCATCGCGCCTTCAATTTTTCAGATGCAGCACGGACGTCCATCAAGTACGAATAGTTGTATCTCTGCGCCGTCGTAAATGCGCATCCTTTCCCTCCCTCTATTTCTATATTGTGTTTGTTTCCGTTTGTCTTATTCGTGATTGTACTTGTTGAAAAGTGTTCACAATTCAGAAAGTAGTTTTTGGACCATGCGTAAACGCACCTTTCTTTTCTCCTGACTCTCTCTTCTTCCGTTCATTTAAGTAAATTTCCGCATATATTTTCGGTCATTATTTTTTTTCTCTTCTTATATTTTACTATTTGTCAGAGGGGCGCGTTTTCGGCGCGCCAAGGGGGCGTATCTGCCAATGGCAGATTGGCTTTACAGCCAGTCCGAGCCTGCACTTTTAAAAGTGACCCCCTCAGAATTTGATGACTTATTGACAATACATAGCTTAGTAAAAATCCAAAATTTCTAGTTAATACGACCATCCGTTGGGCTTTTATGAGACACTGAAAGTTCAAAAAAGTTCTCCTCTTGTGAGGGATGTGTAAAAAATTTTTGATTTAGGCCCAATTTTGTTACACGTGTCTGAAAAGCTCTGTCTTGGGGCTTTCCAACGGTACCAAAACGGTTGACTTTGGATGCAAAGTTCCGGAGTTACACATCACTGCAGTGGTGACATCCCTCAAAAGAGGCGAACTTTTGCGAACTTTCAGTGTCTCATAAAAGCACAACCGGTGGTCGTATCAACTTAAAATTTTGGATTTTTACTAAGCTATGCATAGTCAATGAGTGTGCCAAATTTCGTCAAATTCTGAAGGGGTCACTTTTAAAAGTGGCACCAGCTGGCATAAAATGGAATGACCCACAGGAAACTAAACAGTGGCGTGGCGTGAATGATCGATTATCGATATTTCCTCATTTGTAGCTATGGTAAAGAATCGATTATTAAGGCGTTCGCTGCGAACACCCTCTTTATCGATCCTTTTCCATAGATTTAAATGGCGGATCAATCGATATGTCGCAAAGCACGCCACGCCACTGCAACTAAACTAACTCCGTGACAAAGCGTTGAGTATTCCAAAAAATGAAGCGCTCCTAACCGAACGCTATTACCCATCAGACCTTCATTATACCGAAGCGATCATACAATTTATTAACAAAGCATGTAAGCCGTTCGCAAATGGAGATGTTGCATGTGTGAGGAATTTTCGATTTGACTGATGATTCTTATGTAAAAGTTCGCGAGAAACACGATGGTCCCACTGGTTTTCTCTGAAATCAACTCCCAAGCTCAAAAAAAAAGCTGTCAAGTTGAGGCCAAAATGTAGGGAATATCCCACGCTATCCTGAGAGTCCACGTCTACATCAAGACAAACTGGACGGCGTTAAACAGAAAGGAACCAAGCCACATCAGCTATTGCCAAATTTAACAGAGAAATGTTATTTTTTACGTGAGAACGTTCGTGCAGATTCCTTAGAAAATTTTAAGGAATTTGCTTTGTATTATGGAGAAAATTCACTGAAATTTGCACAAAATTCCGCACAACCGTTTTCATGTAAAAAATTAAATCGCCCGATCAAATTTGGCAATCACTCATGTGGCTTGGTTCCTTTCTGTTTAACGCCGTCCAACTCTCCATGCAAAGATAGGGAGCAAAAACATTGACAGGGCTACTAATTTATTTGGGGACTCGAAAACTGAAAACACGGCAACTCTACTAATGTATTTGCTCCCTTATCTTTGCATGGAGAGTTTGTCTTGATGTTGAGGTGGACTCTCAGGGTAGGGTGGGATATTCCCTCCATTTTGGGCTCAACTTTAGAGCTTTTTTTGAGCTTGAGAGTTGATTTCAGAGAAAACCAGTGGCACCATTGTGTTTCTCGCGAACTTTTACATAAGAATCAACAGTCAAATCGCAAATTCCTCACACATGCAACATCTCCATCGCTGAGATTTGTGAAGAATTACAAAGAACCGAGGCCATGTATTTCAATATAATTTCCAGCTAAGACGCTTTTAGGTAAGGCTAGGTCCGCTTTATTTTTGCACTTATTGTTAGTACTCCCTTCGGTAACGCAGCCGAGCAGTATCATAGTTGTAGCATAAAATTGACGTACCTTACATTTGATTTAATGCAAAAAAGTTGAAAACCAGAGTTTGTGTTAATATTATTTCAACTCACCTGAAACAAACGAGACAAAAATTGCATTAGAAAATCTCAGAAGTAAAAATTAATCAAAAAAGTCAATATTATCGGACGGATTCAATCAGAATCATCCCAACTGCACTTTGGACCGTGTTAAACAGAAAGGAACCAAGCCACATCAGCTACCTATTGCCAAAAATTGGGCAAAAGAAATTGTTACATTTAAACGGTTGTGCGAATTTTCGTGCAACTTCCAGTGAATTTTCTCTTTATTACGAAGCAAATTCCTTAAAATTTTCAAAAGAATCCGCACAAACGTTCTCTCGTAAAAAATTAAATTGCCCAGTTAAATTAGGCAACAGCTAATGCGGCTTGGTTCCTTCCTGCTAAACGCAGTCCAAATAAATTTCTTTCGAAAAATTTTTCTCTAGGCTATGAGGTCCCTTTTTCCTTGTCCGGTCACAAATATTAAGAAGCAAAACTGCCGTGATACTGACACAAATGACTTACTAAAAATATTTCTATTTTGTTCCCAGGTGTTGCATTTCAGGAATCGAGAATAAAAGACATGGACCGCAAGATAAAAAAAGAAGACTTTCCTGACTACAGTGCGATAAAAAAAGAAGACTTTCCTGACGACAGTGCGGAATCCACCTCCGCTCTACCCATCGCATGCATCAGGGCAGACAGAAATTATGGTATTTTAAAGAGAGTTAAGGGTAGGGTTGTATTCCTCACCGGAATTGAAGAATGGAGGTGTTACAGTAAGTCTGGCATTAGGTTCCATTTCGACATCAGCGACAAAACTGGAAGCATTCGAGTCAACGCTTGGAACGCTGCTGCAGAATTCGCCGGGAGTATAATTGAGCGGGGAAAGTCAATAGAATTAAACAATGTACTAATTTGTTTCCGAAATAAACGTTATAATAATTTAGACCACAAATTTGAACTGTTAATACCGGAGCACACCTTCTGTGAATGCACCTTGCGAGAGATAAGTCAAAAAATTGATGTACTGGAAGAGAAGTGCTCTTTTACAGAGTTATCAGAAGTAAAAAACGTACCAAAATTTACGTACTTCAGCATTTTCGGCAAAATCACTGCAATCTCCGAACCTTTTTCGGGTCAAGGACCGAAATTAAATGATTATGAAGGGCACTACTTAGATGTTGAAGATAAAAATGGGACTGTTGTGAAAGTTGCAGTGTTTAATAAATATTTTCCGGTAACGGAAAACATTAAGGGGAAAATCATTACGATTTTCCGATGCAAATACTCGCCTAAACAAAGCTCAATTTGCGTTACGGGAGCATATGTACTTTTAGACGGTGTTCGTGTCATTTAATGACACGATAATGACACGATCGTCCTTTCTCTATGTGTGTACCTACATCAAAACTAACTTCGTGTAAAATTCGCCTACGGCACTGACGCTTTGCTGTTTCACGATGTTATTATTTTCCATCTCATGAGGACCGACTAAACTGTGCTTATGTTTTTTGAACAATTAAATTTTGAGAAAATCGTCCAACAAGAAGGTTTATTTTTTCCTGTCACCGTTGAAGTTTTTTCCTCTATAAATCTTAAGTATTGCAAGTACTTACTGTGTTAAAATATTAGTTTTAAGTTTGACTGTTTAATTTTAAGGCGTCGAATCGACTTAATAATGATATTAGAAGTTAGAGCTGCTAATTTTTTCAGTAAAATTATAGATCTCGAGTCTTTAAAACTTGTTACTTTGTGACTGACAAATATTTAATTAGTATTTTGTGGTAAAAGAATTTACCAATCGTTTTACCTAAATTTGATCTAAAGATGCAAATTACCCACTTATTATTGAAGGATCTTTTGAAAAATAAGTTGAAGGAAATAGAGCATTCTCAGATTTCCACGTAAATATTAGGGGAAAATTGTCACAATTTTCGCACTTCATCTCGACCATCAGCTTTTCAATCACCCTTTAATCTCCTAATATCGTCGCTCCTCTGTCGTAAGGGTATATCTTAATTTTCGTGTTAGCCCTGTTCTCTGTAGAACTCTATGCTTTCTAGAGCTCATGCTAAAACACCGGTACATTTTTACGTCAGAAGAGCGATGATGTATGCCTGTGCCCGTTCTGCGCTTTACATGAGTGCCTTGATTTTTTCACTCTCCTTCCTCATCGAACTATCAATTTTTATTATCGCGTTTTCTTTTTCTGTGGATATACACATGGACAGGAGTTAATTTTCCTAATTTATCTCGTACATCATTGATCTATCGATTTTGACTCTTAACTGATTTTCTTACCTTGCGAGAAAAAGAACAGCAAGTATGAAAATAGATGGTATTACCTTTTGGGAAAACTTTAATATACCGCCTTGGTTATTGTTTTTCTTTCCTCTTTCCTCTCTTCTGTCTATTTTTTCATTTATGCTACTTAACTTTTATTTTTTGAGAACTGACGCTACAATACATGCATTTTAGTTCCATTTAACTTTAGTTTTTTGTAATTCTGCCGTAGAAGATTGTAATGATTTAAATTTATATTGTTCCGATTGTTTCATTGATTTACTGCTGCTCATTGCTGCAAATTGCCGATTGAAAAAACAGATTCAATCCAACAAAAACCCTTCAAGATTTTTTCATCTCATGATTTTGAAAAACCTCAAGATTTCATAACATGCCATGCCTTTAGTTCTGCTTTATTTATGTTTTTCAATTTATGTAAGCAAACTTTACATTTGTTCAATTTGTGAGAAGCATTCCTTAAAATATCTGTTGTGAGAAGTAGTAACCCACGTTCCTCATAAGTGTATCCTACTCATCTGTTTGCGCTAATGTATGAAACAGAGTCTTCTCTTCGGGAGAAGGGAAAGAATATTCGCAGGGCCCTAATAACAGCGCACTCTGACTAGTTCCACATTCAATAATATCACTCTGTTCTTCTTTCATTCTTTGTTCGTGTTGGTTACTGGTTAGTTAGGAATGTTTGATTATTTTGTTCTCAAGTAGAGTTCATCCGCTACCACACATCAAAAAGCAGGAATGATTGTAAAATGTATGTTTTTGTGCCTTAATTTAGTCTACTTCTTCTTTTGTAATAGATTCCATTCAAATGTGTTCCTTTTAAGATTTTTTACCATTTTTAAAATTTTGATGTCACAATAGAGTTCCTGCATGTTTCGGGGATTTACAATTTGAGCACTGCACCTCATCAAAATTTCGCGAAAATTAAGATGAAACCACTGGTTTTGTCTGAAATCAACTCCTAAGCTCAAAAAAGCTCTCAAAGTTTATATCCCACGTTACGTTGAGAGTCCACCTTTAGGTGTAGTCAAACTCTCCATGCACAGATAGGGAACAAATGCATTGGCAGGATTGCCACGTTACCAGTCTTGGAGTTCCCAAACAAAATGGCAACCTTACTAATGCATTTCCTCTGTGCATAGAGAGTTTGATCATATATAGAGGTGAAGGACTCTCAACGTAGCGTGGGATATATATCACGACCTGAATTTTGGGAGCTTTTTTTTGAGCTTGAGAGTTGATTTCAGAAAAAACCAATGGCACCATCGTGTTTCTCGCAAAATTTTACTTAAGGCAAAGAATTTAAATCGCAAATCTTGACACATGCAAGAACTCCATTGATAATTTTTTTACATAAATTGCTTAAATGTATTTTGTAATGTAAGAAGAATTAATATATCAATCGTTACTCATTCACAACTTAATTTTGAATCCACCCTGTAGTTAATAAAAAAGCTAAACCTTTTTTATGTTCTTAAAAACATGAGATATTTAAAACTCTAAGAGTGATAGCATGAAATTTTTGAAACTCAAAAAGTAATTTGGATGTGCTAAAATGTGAGCACCACGATACTTTATCCAGTACAAAACTTAGCTCGTACCTATTGAGATCATCACAGGAAAAAAGCGTCGCCGTCCTTAACAAAACCAGTAGTCTCAAAAACCAGTTTTGGCACGTTTTTATTGTAAAATTTGTCTTAACAGAAATGATTAATGTACCAAAACCGTTACCAATTTTGAGGATTTTTCATACGGATGCTCTGCTCATATATTTTCTCTAAACGAGAAAAAAAAAAAAAAAAAAAAAAATTGAAAATTTTCAGAAGACACAGAGAACTGCCCAGTAGATGAAAGAGTTACTAAAAAATAGAACTTTTCCTTGCCACACTGGGAACGTCTAGGGCTAGGCCTAAGTAATTGTCCTTTGCATCAAAAAACTTTTATTTGGTGTAACTTCTTTTCTTTACCTACTAGGCAGTTTTCCCTGTTTCCTGCACATTTTCATTCTTTCGAGTCGGTTTGTTTTCATTCTCAATTATTCAAATGTGTTAGACACTTACTCGACGATACCTACATATTTCTAGCACTACAGCTTACGGCATTATTTTCATCTTCAGTGCAAAAAAGGTGATTCATGAGATAAGATTTGGCAACCTTGCAAACACTAAGATGCCCGATCATCAGGGCAGTTGGGGAACCTTTTCGGCGTCCAAATTGGATTAACCTCCCGAACTGACTTTCAAGTTCAAGCCCACTTGACAGCAGACAAAAAGCTCTCCTACCGAGCTTTCCGAAGCTTCAAGTTCTCTTCGCAAGAGTGGAAGCTCGGATTGCGAGATTTATTGGATTAAATTACGAATCCAGACTATAATATTTTTACAACTTCTTTTCATTTCTCTTGCCTCGCGTAGTGCTTGAACTCTTCGCACGGGGCAATATAAGAGAGAGACAAAACAGAGAGAATGGAGAAAAAAGAAACTCTCCGAATTCCCGATGATCCGGAAAATGACATTATATTTCATGATATTACATTGTGCAGAATTTTCGAGTTTGGATTTTTGGCGAGATGGATGTAAAGTTTCAAAATCGCAGATAACTCCGGTTCTTTTGATAGACTCAGATCCTAAAAGAGGATACTAAATACCCTCAGGGGTGTTCATATTAGAGCTCGTACCTAATGCTAAATTCTTATGAGCTTTCTCATCACTAATTATCAAATTCCTCCGGCCCTCTGGTAATCATAGACGAAGAGTTCGGTCGAGTTACAAAGTAGGCAAAATAAACATATCAGTTTCAACATTGTTGTCTGCCTTGTGTAAATTTTAAGTAGCACAAATGCTGGTTATCGCGATATTTCTAGCGTCAATCGTTTACTTGATTAACTTTTTAAACGTGATTTTACAAGATCATTTTTCATTCATATTTCTAAGAATGAGTCATACTCGATACGCTCCTGAGACCCTACCGGCATTATGATAGTCAAGAATCGTGTTTGGCGATAACACCAAAAAATGGTAGTTTTGAAAAATCTGACAACCTCGTTACTCTCGGCGGCTGTTGGTAGTGTATGGCATTCGTGCCATTACAGTTCTGAACGTTGACCATTCAAGATCTTGCCTCTTTTTTGCATGTTAATCGATCAGTGGCTTTGTTTTTTCATCAGTTAATTGAATCGATTTTTGTTATGAATACGGTAAGCCGAGTTTTTTTTTTTTTTTCAATTTTTACTTTACTGTTTACTATCGCAGTGTACATCATTATCGTCATTACATCCGATTTTATCAATATTTCCTACTACCGGTTTAACTGAAAAGCATGAAAAGCACTTAAATTGTCAATATTACTTGGTACGATTGTTTTCGTCTTTATATAATATTGAATCCAAATTTTGATTTAAAAGGGAATTTGCATGGACACCTTCGATGCACATGAAGAAAAGAGACCGATGGACGATGCAAATAACTTAATCATATTACTTATCATATCACATACTCGTACTTTTGTCGTACTATTTTGCCTACTGATTTATCCTCTAATTGAATGGTGACCTCTTCGAATATATTTGCTTTTCACAATTTCCTATTCAAGAAAAGCCAGTCCGCCTTCATTTAAAACATAGACAGTATGGGTTGCTATGGAGCATGAAAAATTGTATTATATTGACATTGAGTGATGCCAAAAATAGTAGTATAAATTAGTCTTCTCGGATTCTCAGAGACAAGGGAGAGCAGAAAATGCGAAAATTTGACGAATTTACAAAAATACATTAGTATGTAATCATTAACCCCAGATAGATCGGCATATCGATGGCTGAGGTATAATACTATGACTATCTGCAAACTGACGATTTTGCAGGACGAAGAAAAAACTTCACCTACTTTTATTATTTTGAGCTTAGATTTGCACATTTTTTGAATATACTATACAACGTCTCAGTCACTAGGGAACCAAATCCAAAATCAGAGAAACGAACCTATACTTCACTGTGAGATGGAGTGCTTTTCGACGGTGGAACTTCAAAAATGCGTATATCGGTTGAGTTGTTTCAAAATCTCCGCTCTTGTTTAATATTTAATAGGAGATCAAACCTACATCATGACTTGAAATTTTCACAGAATATTCTTCACATTGAGAGGAATAATCGCCGAAGTTTTTGAGAAATTACGTTCAGTGGTTTTCCGATAGAAAGAAGAAGAAAATAAAATATAACGAGAAGTTTGCAAGCTGCAAACCGAGATGCGCAACTCTGCAGTTACACCATCGTTTTGGAGCTCACCAAAGCAACTCATTTGCCGAAAAACTTCATTCATATCTGTTTCACGTGCTTCAACCCTCAGCAGAACCGTAGCGTGATGATTCAACTGAATGTGTCTTTAATTTTACCAAACATCAAATTCGTACAATGGAGATGTTGCATGTGTGAAGAATTTGCGATTTGATTATTGATTATTCTGTAAAAGTTCGCGAGGAACACGATAGAGCCACTTGTTTCCTCTGATATTAACTCCCAAGCTCAAAAAAAGCTCTCAAGTTGAGGCGAAAATGGAGGGGATATCCCGCGCTATCCTGAGAGTCCACCTCTACATCACAACGAACTCTCCATGCAAAGATAGGGAGCAAATAAATTAGCAGGGATGCCACGTTTTCGGTTTTAGAGTCCCTAAATAAAGTGGCAGCCCTGTCAATGTATTTGCTCCCTATCTTTGCATGGAGAGTTCGTCTTGATATAGAGGTGGACTCTCAGGATAGCGCGGGATATCCCCTCCATTTTGGCCTCAACTTGAGAGCTTTTTTTGAGCTTGGGAGTGACTTCAGAGAAAACCAGTGGCACCATCGTGTTTCTCGCGAACTTTTACATAAGAATCAATGGTCAAATCGCAAATTTCTCACGCATGCAACATTGCAACATCTCCATTCTGGCGTCCTTAACTTACAGAACAAACCATTGGGTTCCGGTGACGGGAAGACGCCGTACCAGGGGAGCTCCCGTTGTTTCGGCGAGTACCGGTGTCCGAAGTGTCGCCGCGTTTGGATGTCGAGCAACAGCTGGGCCAACATGGGCCAAGAATGTCAGAGTTGCAAAATCAACGTCTACCCGCACAAGCAGAAGCCCTTGCAGAAACCGGAGGGCCTCGACAAGTCCGACTTGAACAAAGCTCATCCCCAAGAGCTCTGTGAGAAGTGTAAGCAGTTGGGTCACTACTGCCGTCAACGGTACTACAAACGCTGGTGAGCGTGTAAACAGACCGGTGAGTCGTCACTGACATCCCTCGAAAATTTCGTCAAATGTGAGGGGGAACCTGCAAATGTGTGGAAAAAGAGTGAGGGTGACGAAATGTTTTTTTTCCCCTTGGGGGTGGGAGGGGAATAACTAAATTTTCAGCACAACGTAAACTACCTGGGAGAAGGAATAATTAGCTCCAATCGAAAGTATATTAAAAACTTCATTTTTAAATCCTCCGTTCTCAATAGCATAATTTTTTTAAATCCATTTTACACCTCTTAAAAATATGAAAAATTAGCTTTGTACGAAGGTAAAATAAAGGTTTCATTCAATTTATCACTGGCATGTTTTCCTTATATTTATCTTGCACCCCTTCGAATGGGAAAAGGATTCAGCGGATTAAGGGCCTATAGACATGGAGGTTTTATACAATATGCATTAAACAAAATTGAGTCCGTTATCAAAAGCATAAACAGATTTTCTTGACAGTTCCTCGGTTGCACTTAGAATAATACCAGTTATGTACTCAAGTACGTCGAAAGAATTAATTTAAGACACCAAACAAACTTTCAGAAGTGACAACAAAAGTTTCCTTGTTTGTGATGCAATTTTTCTGAATACGACGAGAAAATTCATCTCGACAATGATCCTTTGTAGGGTCTCAACGGGAATTGCTTTTGCTCAAGGTGAATACTGGCTTTTCCAACTCAAAAAAAGTGTTCCTGAGTGCTACCAGAAATGTCAAGTAAAGCTGGTCCTTGAACCAGATTTATTCTGGCTGTGGGTCTCTTTGCCATGTCATACAATAATGCTGAGGACATGTTAAAAAGATCTGGAGCGATACAACTGCACACGTGCTGACTGCATTATTAAACGAAAAAGCTGTGCAAATTATTCACCTACGCGTCTTCGTTTAATAACTTCTTACACATCTTTCAGCAAAATTAATACTAGTGCGTAAATAATACTTTCCTAGAAAAACAAATAAAAAATTTGAAACAATTTTAAAAAGAGAAAAAATTGGGATTTTTTAATTGGATCACTGACGTTTCCTGCATGCCTAATAATTTGGAAAAATCAGAATAGATATGTAGGAGAGATATTGAGATTGCACATATTTGCCTTCAATCGACAAAGTAGGCCAAAAAACATCACATCCTGCAGAAATAGTTATATGATTTCATAGATTCAAGTCTTGAATTCATAATTCGACCTACATATTTGGAAACTAGCTCTGTTTTTCGATTCAAATCCTTTTGATTGACAATAAATGAATAAAATAATAACAATTCACTCCCAAGTTACCGAAGAAAGATAGTACTCCCCCAGCCTTCATACGAGAAATGTCACTGAATTCGACCACGACCCACGACCCCACGACCACCGAACTATTCAGGTAAGTATGATCAGAAAATGTGACGCATTACATCGTGTGGATAGACCTTTGTTGCACATATTCTCTCATTTTTGTCCTAAGCACATCAACAATTAGTCTTGGTCACACTAGCGACACTTTTGTCAATAGTATCAACCGGAAATGACGTCATTATCGGTCAATTTGTGTCAATATTTGGTAACCAGCTAAGTAATAATGGACTGGCTGTCACTACTTTTCAGTTTATTTTATTGACAAAGAAACTGATAGTGTGTGTCTTATGAAGCTATCATCGTGAACGTGAATCTGTCATTCTTGATTTGTGCCGAACGTTGCCTAGCAACCTAAATTGGTGTAGCAGCCCAGGCACTCCTGTCAGATTTGCAACCTGAACAGCGTGCACGCGCGATTTCTGATAGAATCCTAGATTCTCAATCCGAAATACGACAACGGGGCTCATCGAGATACAACATTGTCCGTGGTCAGCATCCGTTGAAACAAATTTAAACAAAAATACGGCGTCTCATTTCATCTGGCAGCCTGCTGTGGGCGGTTGCAGATAGTTCCGTCTTATTTTCCAAGTTCGTTAATCACTGATAGTTAATTACTGATAGCTAATCACTGATCATTCTTCTGTTCTCCTTGCTATTGTTTACGGTGATCGGTGATTTAGTTGTCTATAACTTTAAGAACATAGGTGCATCATTCTGGTATCAAGTGGTTTATTTTGTTTTTAGGTTTCAGAATCAGGAGCACCATCATGCCGCGAAAGAATAAAAAGGTATAAGTGCGTTTAACTTTTTCCTTTTCATTATTTGCTGTATTCACACTATGAGTCATTCACATGCATGTTCATCGATAATCCAGCACTTACAAAAAAAAAAGAATAGCTACTCATATTGGAGATAATTAGAGTTCGTCGATTCGTAGATATACAAAGTGTAGACTTAGGTAGGCAGGTAGACTTAGTGTAGTAGACTCGTGTTTTGATGGTTTCAGCTCATAGATCAGCAAAAATTAATATGATTTACATCCAAACGTCCAATGTTATCGGAGATATATCGCCCATCGAAAAACTATGAAATTATCTACGTCATCGCGGAAGTGCATACCGTGGTTTCTTCTACCTTGGTTTCATCCGTCTTCTACGTCGAGCTACTTGTGCAAATGAGGTATATCACTGATTGATGAAACCAAAGTGGGTGAAACCATAGGATTCACTACAATGGATGGCGTCATACGCCTTTTTTATTTGTGATATCTTCGTCAATTAGACATGAAACTAGGCGTTTGGACAGATGTCAATATTGTTTGCTGATCCGTAAGATTAAACCATATCCAAACACGATTCTGTGACTGGCGCAACTAACCCATTCTGGGAATACATATTAATAAGTCTGATGAAAATTTAATAGTTCATGCACGTAAAATTAAGCAACACTTGGATGCTCCTGCCAAGTTCCTCTTTCGCAAGACAGTACGGCTATTTGTACGTATTTCTGCCAAACGTAACTGTGTGCATTAAGACATGAGCCCTGAGACCCATAAGAATATATGCATAACAAGGCTCACGTCACAATGCACATAGTTCCGTTTAACAGATATGCGTCTATTTGTAGTTGCACTGATTACTGTTACTTATCGTGCGGTATCGTTACTCCATTCTGCCGTGATAGCGAAGAGAGCAGTAAGTGCAGCTGGGATGAACCTCGAGACACATAAAAGCATGTGCTAACCAAACCATGGCTCACACAGAAATGCACTTACTTACTGCTCTCTACGCTATCACGGCAGTATTGTCATGCCTACAGCGTGTGATGAGTCCTATTGTTTATGTGATTCCATAATTTTCAGGGTTCAAAAGAAAATAAATTTAAGTACTTCAATCACGGGAGTCCTTTGGCCTACTGATATCAGCTTAAGGAAAGCCAATAGCGTATTTTTATCGGCACATCGCGGAACACGACGAAACATTTCAAAGAAAAATCATGTTTCCTATGAACTTTGTTGATAGCTCAGGATATAATGGAAAAATTGTGTATTTTCTTCGGAATATGCACTAAAAAGGATAAAAAACCTAAGAATACATATAAATCTTTTCATCACGTTCCATCTTTTGACACTAGTCCATTGTGATCATTTATCTGCCTTAATTTCTTGGCGCAACATTAATTTGATTATAGTGATTTTTATCTACTAAACCAAATAGACATTGTTTTTATGTTGAACACTGTATACTGACTAATGTACTTGGAATTTTTTTTTTTTTTTTTTTTTTTTTTCAGAATAAACCTGCATCAGCAGAGGGGAATAAAACACCGTATCAGGGGCGCAGACGGTGTTTCGGAGAATATAAATGTCCAAAATGTGAAAAATGTTGGTCTTCTGGAAACAGTTGGGCCAACACAGCCCAAAAGTGTTCAGTGTGTAAAATTAACGTTTATCCTCATCGTCAAAGACCATTAGAAAGACGACCCAGGAGGAAAGATAATCGCAAACCCCACCCACAAGATCTTTGTGGTAAGTGCACAAAATTAGGTTATAATTGTCAAGATCTGAACCTCTAAGATTATCGTCGAGAAAAGTCGTCATGACAGGCTACTGTTAATAATTTCGTAAGTCGCATAGAATTGGTGAAAATTATAATTTAGGGTATGAGAGATCTTCGAAAGACAAATAAGAGTTACTCAAGAGCAAAATATTCATAGAAACCTCACCAGTAAAACTTCCGTGTTAGGAAGAAATATCAGTGTCTTTCTCAGTTGTGACTATATTTGTATCTTTCAAAATTTAAAAAAATAGCAAAACATAATGATAAGACAAATAAAGCTTTTTCTCAATTTAATTTCTATCGAATTCCCTTCTTCAAATACCTTGCAGTAACCTACATGAAAAAAACGAAAAACGAGCCCTCTTCATAAACAGATGACATTTGATGACAAGATGTCAACAAGATCACATTTTTTCCCGAAAACACGATTTTCATCAGACAGAAAGTCAACTATATAGCTGTGGTCATGGCTACATTTCTTTCATCTTACTTATTTCGTAATAGATCGTTTTCGATACATCAAAAATGTGAGATTGTATCGATATCGATTGGTTCAACATGTAAACATAGCCTCAAAAGTCAATCGAGTAATCTGAGGAAACGGGGTTTTTACTGATAGATTTCTTATTCTTATGAGTACAGTAGACTCTGGATTATCCGGCTTCGTATTATCCGGACTCTGGATTATCCGGATCGATTTTGCAACCATGTAACTACGTACGCATTCCGATAAGTGAGCGGATCCGCGGAGAAGCGGTCGCAAGGCATATTGGCGCCTGCAAAACTGAAGGAATACTTCACGCATTGCGCCAAACAGTGAGGTCGGCGTGGAACGCATTAGCGCCTACTAGATTGCATAAATACTTCTCGCATTACGCCAAACGCAGAGCAGTCGGTTAGTTAGCCTAAAACGCACATAAGCGGCTACAAGACAGCATGAATACTTCACACATTGCGCGCTTTAATTGTTGTATTGTAATTTATCGTTGTCGGCTACCATTCACAATCACCATTGAGTCGTTCAGTTTGGCGTTAACCTTTTAAATTCGTGTTGGTATGTACATGATGTATACTTAATAAAAATACTGTGGTGTTGGTTGGTGGTGTTTGTGTTTACTATTATTATCCGGATTTCTTTTTCATCCGGATCGGGCCCGGCACCAATTAATCCGGATGATCCAGAGTCTACACTCTACTGTACTAAATGGCATCGCAAGGTGAAATATAGTTAGAAATTTTCTGATTTTCAGCTTTTCCGACTGAAATCCTGAAAGTTTTGTTTGAGGTTATGTTCTATTGTTTTGAACCAAACGATACATCAAACCACTATCGAAAACGATCTATTGCATTTCTCGAGTTGAAAGTTCATGCGGTAAAACCGTCACCATAAGATTCTCGTAAATTTTAGAGAATTTGGGTAAATTGGAGACGCTCACTTGGAGGGTAGAAATATTTTATCATATAAATTGATTGTTATTGATGCGTACCTAATTTATATTTATTTTTTTCTTTGCACATGCATGGTTTTATTCTTCCATGAGACTCGATGTAATAGATTTTCAACCTTCATTTTTACAATCAAAATATTTCTTCTCGGTTGAATTTTTGACGGAAGAAAATGAACGACTAGTTGAACTCAAAACATTTCCAAACCCAATGTTTTCGAACACTTATTCCAACGAGCCGACAGCCAACAGGGAAAGAACATGGACGTATTTTTATCAAATGGAACCACGCGCATTAAGAAATGAGCACTGAGACCCATAAGAACATGTGCATAACAGGGCTCACGTCATAATGAACATAGTTCCATTTGACAGAGATACGTCTACATGATTGTCGTTACTCATGAGAAACAGTTGAAACCCCTCAAATAATTTTCACAATTTGACGAGATCAGCCTAACTGCAGTTCTAGTGGCGAGGCGTGAGTGATCGATTATCGATAATTCCCCATTTGAAGCTATGGTAAGAAATTGATTTTTAGGGCGTTCCTGTTTATCGATTCTTTTCCATAGGTTTAAACGGCAAATCAATCGATAGATCGCAAAGCACGCCACGCCACTGTGCAACGAAGATGTTGCATGTGTGCGGGATTTGCGATTTGACCATTGATTCTTTTGTAAAAGTTCGCGAGAAACACGATGGTGCCACTGGTTTTCTCTGAAATCAATTCCCAAGCTCAAAAGAAGCTTTCAAGTTGAGGCCAAAATGGAGGGGATATCCCACGCTATCCTGAGAGTCCACCTCTACATCGAGACGAACTCTCCATGCAAAGATAGGGAGCAAATTCATTGACAGGGCTGCCACTTTATTTGGGGACTCTAACACTGAAAAAACGGAAACCCTGCTAATGTATTTGCTCCCTATCTTTGCATGGAGAGTTTGTCTTGATGTAGAGGTGGGCTCTCAGGATAGCGTGGGATATCCCCTCCATTTTGGCCTCAACTTGAGAGCTTTTTTTGAGCTTGGGAATTGATTTCAGAGAAAACCAGTGGCACCCTCGTGTTTCTCGCAAACTTTTACATAAGAATCAATAGTCAAATCGAAAATTCTTCACACATGCAACATCTCCATTCCCGTTACCTAAGTTTCTATAATTCTTCATTTTTACCAAGAAAACCAAGCAACATGGCGCCGGAAAACTTTTCGCTAATTTCTCCTGCAGTAAAAAAATATGTTCATGTAATTTAAAGCCAGCATGTTATTTAATTTACACGTGAATAAATGAAACACGGGAAGATATTTGGCAACATCTGATTCTGATTAACACACCTGGAGGGCGGAGCCTCCACGGGTTCAAAATTTGGCAACACCGGAGGCGACAAGATAAAAACTCCTCGATGGCCCTCCGCCTTTTCGCACTTTTTAAGTGTTTCCGCGCCGAGGCGCAGGGAGCTTCCGTTCCCCATCGCGAAGTCTGATTTTAATGACGGCCTGGCAATTAGTTTAAGGCTCTTTTTCTAATTTTCACTTCACGCTCCCTCTCCTCTCCCGTCCCCTCCTCAGCTCCTGGGCGTTCGTCCCGGAGACAATTTTCCCCGGTCCTCCAGTAGCCATTGTTTTAATGATATTTTTCATCCCCCGGGCCCACTTAATTTTTCTCGACTCATTTTTCGCTCGCTTACCCTGCCTCCCCCACCCCCGCCCCGATGAATCGTTCTCTTATTATTTTATACTAATAAATGTTCTCAAGTCCTATCCCGCCTCACGATTTTTCTCGTCTGATCATAGTATCCCTCGTTGTCGACCTGGAATTTTCAAAAAACTTCTTTATTTTGCCCCAGCATAGAGTAACTATACCTAGCTGTGATCACAAATGCCTAAATCCGAAACTGATTGGTTATTAATACCGAGGGAACTTTCTGAAGTAGTAGATATCGTTTAGTATAAATAATTTAAACATCTTCGTCAACGGGAAAAAAGTGTTCGGGGTTATCCCCAAAAATTATGTGATACTACCCCAATTTGCTGCATGATATGGATATGTCCAAATAACTTTTTAGTGCCGCAACGATTGGGTTAGTAGATAACCTAATTTATCAGGGCACTACCACAATTAATTGACAATGTCCAAATTGGGACATAACTCCTACCTCTACTTTTCCGTATCATCATTACATCCTTAGCAGGAGAATCCCTAATAACTTTACCATGTAAGTTCTTGGTAATTTCAATGGCTCATTTTCCGATATCCAGTAATTTCAGTGTGCCCACTTAAAAAAAAGAAGAAGACGAAGAAGAAGAATAGGAAGAATAGAAAGGAAAAATTATTCGGCAAACACTATTAATACCTCTTAGCCCAAAGATCTTAACAAGTTTGGTACAATAGAAAGTCAGTAAAATTAATGCAGAAACGATGAAATTTACGGAAATCCTTAATAACTGTAAATCACATAAGATGGACTTTTTTCGACGCGTTCATTGTGTGGTCATTTTTTCAAGAGCACTTTGAAGCGGCTGTGAACGGAAACGGAAAACGGCTCAAGAAAGATGTACAGAAAGACGATGTGGTCCTTCGGATATTCAACGGAGTCCTTATTCTACCGTTCGAAATTACGTGTAGATCGAGAGTATAAAGTCACCAGGCTTTGAAAACGGTAGAAAAGTAGAAATCAAATCGATAGAAAAAATAATTATTCTCATCCGCAGTGCCTCTGATAACTGATACTAGGTATTCATATAGTTACATATAAAGTAAACACACTTAAAATGCCGGTATATGTTGGAGTTTTTTTTAAAATGCTCCAAAAATGCGAATAGTGAATATTTTCTGCGCAAAACCTGGCAACGTTACTTCCTGAAACATCAACCCTCCGCTCTCATCTCATAAAGTTGCCTTTTATTTTATTTTTTTCGGGAGCGACGACGCGGTTCGGAAGTGTTTATGAGGGCAACTTTTCGTGGCGAGCAATTCGAGTTGATCATGATTAACCCGAAGTAAATAAACATAAAAACATTAAAGTTTAGCTCCCGCAGCCACAGCATAACTACCCTGCTGTTAGCTTTCCACTCGCGCTGCGGATGAACAGGGCAGCGGTGACGAACGAAATGTGGTCCCAACTTCAGCGACAACAAAAAACAGACAAGTGAGTTCAGAGCTTGAAAGTTCGTGGGCTAAACGTTTCAGTGAAGTTTTTGTTGGTTCTAGTTTTTAACAATACTCAGATCCTGAGAGCATGAGTAGGGCTGTTTAAAGTTTCTAGCATGTTAAAATTTTGCCAAGGATTAAAAATTTAAAGTAAACAGGTCATTGATAATAATGAGGATTAGAATCGTGGAAGGTAGTGCGGAAATACAATTCCTGACACTTCCTATTTAATGTAATATCGCCGATTATTCATCTGAAAAAATGCAGAGAGAGCAGTATGATGTGTAGACGTTCATTTGCAACTCTGACAAGGAATCTAAAGGTGTTTCAATTGGGAAAAAACCAACCATACTTTTTTCTTTCAGCCTGATCATTCTTAGACGATTTCCAAAATTCAAAAAACTTACTTTTGACTTTTGAAGCTTCTGAAAATGTTATCATAGTGATCAAGCAAAACGTAAAAAGTATATAGAATTGCAATATCATAAAGATATAAAAAAAGATGTTTGGGAAATTACGAAATAAAAATGACTGTCGAACTGTACAAGAAATTCCGGCTTATATTTAGACGAGAGGACTCAACACGTCCAATGTAGATGGCACATCTCCGCTAAACTGAGAAAAATAATTGTGTTCTCGTGCTACTTTTGGTTAATATAGGAAGTGAAACACAAACTGACTCAAATTGTGTGTTGATTTTGGTA